AAGGTTGAAAAACATTGGGTTAGAGGAGACGGCTGAGCCAGGAATGGCATGGGAGTTGCCACTCCAACACATTCAGCTGCCTCATCTGCCCGGATAAGCCATGCCAGGAGGGCGTTGGAGGGGAGCTCTAGGCAGCCGATGTGGGAAGATTAGCCAAGGCTCTTTCAAGGCAGCCTAGCATCTCCCCGAAGGGCATATTGGGGCCTGGCTAGGGAGTGTTGACTTCAGGCTGGAAGAGAAATGGGTGAGGGAGTTCTTTGTAGAGAAGGAAAATGCAGCAACCGGTGGATAGGAGTAGACGAGTCAGAAACAAAAGGAATTTCTGCATATATTTAAATACACAGTTAAATTCATGTATTTGTTCACAGCACCATGACACATGGTGGGTTTTTTTAAATAAAAAAAAATGGGCACAAGAGCCTTCCCCCAAAGAGGAAGAGCAGGAGTAGGAGAAAGTTACAGGAAGAAGGAAGGGAAAGGAGAGGAGGAAGGAAGTAAGTAGAGTAGGGAGGGAGGGAGAAACGAAATGGAAAATAAGTTGTTGTTACAACAGGAGGAAGGGATGGTAAACAAAGCAACCCAAACTGTATATTATAACCTATTAAATGAAATAATAAATGTATAAGAATGATAAATGTTAAAACACTTGTAACCAAACGACGTGCTGTATGTGATGATGGGGTTTTTTTGTGTTTGTTTGTTTTTTTTGTTTCTTTTTTTTTAATTGTTGTGTGTATGTGTTGTCTATGTAATAAAATAAAATAAAATAAAATTCCGCTACCGGTTCTCCAGAACTGGTCAAAACCTGCTGAATACCATCTCTGGTACCAACCAAGTATCTTCTTAAATTGTTTGTTGCTCCGAGTAGCGCAGTCTTTTGCGCTACAACCTCTTGACGTATTTTGCTAAATTCTTGGACATGGCATCAAGTGCCCCAATGACAATGGGTATCACTGTTACACTGTTGTTGTTGTTGTTGTTATTGTTGTTGTTATTTGCATGCAGCCCATTCTCAAAATTCTGCCTTCCACATTTATGATGATACCACCTCTGGTTTTTCCTGCTGACCAAAGGCTTATGGCCAAGGCTTTGTAAAACCCTTAGTAAGGCCACACCTGGAACCCTGCATCCAGTTTTGGTCGCCCCATTACAAAAAAGATGTTGAGACTTTGGGGAAAAAAGGCAGAGAAGAGCAATTAAGATGACTAAAGGCCTGGAGACTAAAACATAGGAAGAATGGTTGCAGGATCTGGGTGTAGCTAGTCTAGAGAAAAGAAGGAGGGGGGAGGGCATGATAGCAGTGTTCCAGTATTTGAGGGGATGCCACAAAGAAGAGGGGATCAAATTATTCCCCAAGGCAGGACAAGAAGCAATGGATGGAAACTAATCAAGGAGAGAAGCAAACTAGAAGTAAGGAGAAACTTCCTAACAGTGAGAACAATTAACAACTTGCCTCCAGAAGTTGTGGGTGCTTCATCATTGGAGGTTTTAAGAAGAGACTGGGCAGTCACTTTTCTGAAGCGGTACAGGCTCTCCTGCTTGAGCAGGGGGTTGGACTAGAAGACCTCCAAGGTCCCTTCCAGCTCTAATCGGACTAATTAATCAACTCAACTTGTTGAGAAGTTTCTTTTTTCCTTCTTACCTTATCAAGCTTGACTTCTATCTCCACCACGTCTGTTTCTACCTCATCTATGGTCGCCCTGCGAAAAAAAAAGAAGAAGGGAAAACGGAGATTAAAATACCCGCTTGCCATCCCAGGCAGAAGCATCGATTACTAAGCCAGGGGAAAGTGACACTACAAAAGACAGCAGAGAGACAAGATGGGAATCATCCTTTGGCCTGAAAGTCTGCGTTAATAGTTAATAGTCCCGTTCGGAAAAAGCGCTGGATCATTACTGTTAAATTAGCAACTTCATCTCATTGCTTTTATATCCGTTCAACTTCTGAACTATTTCTCCATCAATCCGGGGGCTTGTTTTGTAAGCTGGGAGGGAGGTTTTAGAGGTCATCTAGCTTTACCCTCAAATGCAGAAAGCCGGGTGCCAACGCCAGTCTCTGCCCATCAGTCCTCTGACCTCAATGGGTTTAATAGCAACGGCACTTAGACTTATATATCGCTTCATAGTGCTTTACAGCCCTCTCTAAGCGGTTTAGAGAGTCAGCCTCTTGCCCTCAACAATCGGGGTCCTCATTTTACCCACCTCGGGAAGACGGAAGGCTAAGTCAACCTTGAGCCAATCGGTCAGGGTCGAACTCCTGGCAGTGGGCAGTTAGCCTGCAATACTGTATTCTAACCACTAGGAAGGAAGGAAGGAAGGAAGGAAGGAAGGAAGGAAGGAAGGAAGGAAGGAAGATAGCAATAGTATTTAAAATGTATACACTGCTTCACAGTGCTTCACAGCCCTCTCTAAGCGGTTTACAGAGTCAGCCTATTGCCCCCCAACAATCTGGGTCCTCATTTTACCCAACTTGGATGGATGGAAGGCTGAGCCAACTAGGAGGAAAAAGGGAATGGAAAAAAGGGAGATGAAAGGGAAGGGAGAGTAGGCGGGAAGGAAGGAAGGAAAAAGGAAGGAAGGAAGAAGAGAGGGAGGGAAGGAGGAAGGGAGGGGGACAGAAGGAAAGACAGAAGGAAGAAAGGAAGGAAGGAATGAAAGAGGGAGGGAAGAAAGGAAGGAAGGAATGGGAGGAAGGGAAGGAAGGAANCTACATGTGATGATGGGTTTTCTTTTCTGTTTTGTTTTTTGTTTTTCTTTTTTTTTCTTTTCATTGTTGTGGGTATGTGTTGTCTATGTAATAAATAAATAAATAAATAAATATTTTTAAAAAAGCATTCACAAAGTTCATGTTTATATATTTATGCCTAACTTATATTTTCAAGCCTAATTTTTTCTTGAGAACTCAAGATGTTGCACCAGGAATTTATTTCATCTTCACAAAACCAGTCTTGTCAGCTTAGTTGTACTGAGAGTTTATAACTGGTTTACAGTCACTAAGGGACTGCTAAAATTGAATGGGGATTTGATGTTAGTCCCTCTGGTTCCAATCTCATATATTGAGCACATTATTCATGACAACAAAACAAAGTCTTGGCATATCCAATGACTGATATACTGATTGGACCTATTAATGGCTCTTATTCTTCAGATCAAATATGGTCTGTGAGAAATCTTTTGCCTTTATCTGCCTCTCACAGAAATTTTGGTTATATTAATTTATCTTAAATAACTAGGGAGGCTGATATTTCCCAAATGTATTTTATGTTGTCTAAGCCTGATTGAAAGAAGGACATCAAACGAATAAGGAACTGAAGGACAATTTCTGTAGCTCTAGGTGACCATGAAAGTAATCAAGTAAATTTCACATCATTTCCAGAAATGGAGACACATTTCATTTAGTCATGTTTTAGTATGCCGTAGTTTACCTTTTAGCAGTCAACATAGATGGGTTCTTTTAGAGTTATTTAAGAAACATTTTAAAGAGACTATCTATTTACATCTACAAGTCTTCATCACTCTACTGTGTCACAAATTATTATTTATGAATGGAATAAATATTGAATGTATAGCCAAACATCTGCATATAATTCAAATCTATGTGAAATTAAAACCAGGAAACCGTAAATACAAAATGGTTATCTCAGTAGTTTTAACTGTACATAACAATGACAGAGAGTGCAAAATAAAAACTAACCCAAACACAATATTTCAAATTCCCAAAACTGAAGGTCCAGATAACTTATAAATACTTTCTTTCTTTATATATTTAATAAATACATTTATTCAGAAAAATCCTGATTTAAATGAGCAGTTTGTTTAAAAATATTCTCCATGTAGTATATTTTACTGTTAGGTTGCTAGCTCTAGGATTATTTCGGTGACTTTGAGAAACCTTTAGAAAATGCTGAAAATTGCAAATCCCAGTTTTTAACTGGGCTTATATGTTGATGCCTTTTGGCTTTTATTTTATTCTGGGTGGGATATTTATTATTATTTTTCATAATCTTGGGACTTAATCAATTTATGGATGAATTGTATTAGGGAATTTAGTTGTTGAAATCTTAGTTGTACCATTCAGATTTGTTTGTCTTTTTTTAAATGGTAATATCAGACATTTCTCAGAAGAAGCAAATTTATTTTTATGATGTATTTGCTTACTGTTAATTGTACTTCTATTCATTTATTCATGTATTAAATATATGTGGTCCATTTTGCCTAGAGGCAACTCTAGGCAGCTATGCAATTGAGATCCAGTTTGGGGTACTGGTTAAAAGGAGCAGCCTAGAAACAGAGAAATTATGATTTCTAGTCTTGAGATAGCCACAAAACCAGCTGGTTGACCTTGTGCCAATTACCTTCTCTTAACCCAAGGAAGGAGACAATGGTAAACCACCTCCAAAATCTTGCTGAAAAAAACTGCAGGGACTGGCCCAGTTGCCAGGAATGTGACTCAAAGACACATTCTTCCCCCCAACCCATTATGCAGTTGGACTTTTAAAGTTCCTGTTTCTATGTCTATTGCAATATATTCAAATGCCTTCCTACAGACATACCTAAAGGAATATCTTGGCAGATTTGAAATGTATTTCTTGGCTTGTGTAAGGAAAGATGTCTTTCTGACATTCCTTTAATCCCAGAGAGGCCATTAGCACCAGAGGTCTGGAAGTCTGTAAAAGCCAATAATTCTTTTTAGAATATGTATCATTAAAAAGCAGACTGGGAAAATATCCATTTTACTTTACTTTTGGGGGGCTCACAGCCATCAGGACTTAGACGATTATAAAGTGGCTGTAATAACTTCTCATTAAGAATCTGCCTCCATTTCCACTGCAAGCAGGTACTTCCTTGGCTATGGTTTACCATTCTGAAATGCAGCTTTACTTTCTCATTATTAATGTAATTCTTCCTTTGCTTTTCATCTTAGTACTTTTATTTTTGAAATGTTCACTTGTGGTGTATTATATTTCATTTCTTAAACTTTTTTCATTTCATTTTTCATTTCATTTCATTTTTAATGTGTGCCAGTGTGCCCACAAGTAAAACATGAAAATAAAGATGATTTATCTATAATAATTTTCACCCTGAATTGGATTGATATTATTGGGAAAAAAATCACTCCACCAACACTGTTGTTCAGTAACTCAGTTTCTGTACACAGTTGTATGCACCTTAGCCCACAACTGTAATTCATGAAGGAGAAAGCCAAGATTGCTGGCTATAGATTGTCTTCTGTGATACATATTATAGAACGTGGCACGACAAAACCGCGCTCGTCAAAATCGCGGTGATAAAATCGCAGCACTAAAGCCGCGACGTCATCATCGCGCGCCATCACCGCCGCGACAACGGCGCGGCAACAGAAGGGCGCTTTAAAACGGCGCCGCGGCAGAAA